TGTACATCAATAAATTTAGAATATCTAACTGTTAAGAGATAATACAGGGTCACTAATTTAATACTTTTTTTTTTTTTTTTTTTTTTTTGAGACAATGTCTCACACTATCACCCAGGCTGGAGTGCAGTGGTACGATCTTGGGCCACTGAAGCCTCGAATTCCCAGGCTCAAGTGATCCTCTTACCTCAGTCTCCCGAGTATCTCCGCAGGCACATGCCACCATGCTCGGCTAATTTTCATAGTTTTTTTAGAGATGGAATTTCACCATGTTGCCCAGGCTGGTCTTGAATTCCTGAGCTCAAGTGATCCATCCACCTCGGACTCCAGAAGGGTTGGGACTATAGGGATAAGTCACCTGGCCCAGCTAATTTGGTAAATTTACCAGGAATCGGGATCTGGTATTCAGGCTCACAACTTTAAAACTTGATCTTGTCAGTTCCCCTTGTCAGCAAACTCACAAGGTATACTAATGGATAAGCTAGAATGACAATTTTAGACACTCAAGTATCTAGAAAGAATGCTCAAACACCTTATTTCGGGCACATCCTTTTATAATTTTGAAGTATCAAGGAGGCTGATGTTACTTGTAAAGTTAGTAATCAGTAAAGAAATGTGGATTGTCTTAAGCAAAATCTAATCCAGACTTTTTTGAGACACAGCAGACAGTACCTGTCTTTCCAGGAAAAGTTGTTCACATCTCCCAGTTTCAGACTCTCTCCTAGAGAGTGCAGGATGTAAAAAGTCAATTCTTTTTTACTCCTCCTTTGCCTATGCTCCAATGAAACTAGATATACAACGGCTTTCAATCCTGGCTACACATTGGAATAATGTGAAATCCGAAATTTAAAAACATACCTAGAGCAATACCCATGCCTCACCCCAAGACAACTGAATCGGAATCTCTGAAAAGATAGGAACTTTACATCTGCATTTAAAAAAAACTCCTCCCAAAATTCTGATGCATAGTGAGCATCAAAAATATAATGGACATCTTATTACATGTCCATTTTTTGTTGATTTTATGTTGAGTTCTTGTCTCTCCTATATTACATACATAATACACTTAAATAAAATATAGTTTAGGCATATACATAGATCTGAGAAGAAAAATCACACTCTAGGGTTGACTGCTAATACATAATATCAAGAAAAATTGTAGGTTTTTTATATTTAAAAGTATATTAAAATAATTAGAAGTTTAGAGTCTGTGTATAATACCAAAATCTAATACCTAGAAAACAAAATTTTGATTATTATAAATAACTGATCAAATTTATCCACAACTTACATATTTCTTTTTAATTCATGTATAATCATAGTACATATTTTGAAGGATACATGTGATATTTGATACTTGTCTACAATGTGTAATGATCAAATCAGGGTAATTGGGATATCCATCACCTGAAACATTTTTATCTTTTCTTTGTATTGGGAATATTACAGTTCTTCTATTCCAGCTATTTAGAAATATATGAGTTATTGTTTACTATAATTTCCCTAATGTACTACTGAATACTAGAACTTATTACTTCTACTGAATTGTATTTTTATACCCCTTAATCAACTTCTCTTCATTCTCCCCTCCTAGCCTGTGGTAATCACCATTTTATTCTCTACCTCCATGAGATCTACTTTTTTAGCTCCCACATATGAGTGAGAACACGCAGTATTTGTCTTTCTATGTCTGGCTTATTTCATTTCACACAGTGGCCTCCAGTTCCATCCATGTTGCTGCAAATGATGGGATTTCACTCTTTTTATGGCTGAATAATAGTCCATTGTGTGTATATACTGCATTTTGCATTTTCTTTCTTTTTCTTTTTTTTTTGTTTTTTTTTTTTGTTTTTTTTTTTGAGACGTAGTCTCGCTCTGTCACCAGACTGGAGTGCAGTGGTGTGATCTCGGCTCACTGCAACCTCTGCTTCCCGGGTTCAAGCAATTCTCCTGCCTCAGCCTCCCGAGTAGCTGGGACTACAGGCGTTCACCACTACACCCAGCTAATTTTTGTATTTTTAGTAGAGATGGGATTTCACTATGTTGGCCAGGATGGTCTCAATCTCTGGGCCTCGTGATCCGCCCGCCTCAGCCTCCCAAAGTGCTGGGATTACAGGCGTGAGCCACCACGCCTGGCCTATATACCGCATTTTCTTTTTCTATTCATCCGCTGATGAACACTTAGGTTGATTCCATATCTTGGTTATTGTGAATAGTGCTGCAATAAACTTGGGAGTGCAGATCTCCTTGATATACTGATTTCCTCTCTTTTGGATATATACCTATACCTAGTGATGGGATTGCTGGGCCAAGTGAAAGTTCTATTTTTAGTTTCTTATTAATTAGTTAATTAATTAATTTATTCATTTTTGTAGAGATGGTGTCTCAGTATGTTGCCCAGGCTGGTCTCGAACTCCTGGGCTCAGGTGATCCTCCTGCCTGGCCTCCCAAAGTTCTGGGATTACCGGTGTGAGCCACCATCCTGGCCTATTTTTAGTTCCTTGAGGAACCTCCATACTGTTTTTCATAATGACTGTACTACTTTATATTCCCACCAACAGTATACAAGATTTCCCCTTTATCTGCATCCCTGTCAGCATTTGTTATTTTTTTGTCTTTTTGATAATAGCTATTCTAACAGGGATGAGATGGTATCTCATTGTGGTTTTGATTTGTACTTCCCTAATGATTAGTAATGTTGAGCATTTTTTTATGTATCTGTTGGTCATTTGTATCTCTTCTTTTGAGACCTATTCAGGTCTTTGCCCATTTAAAAATCGGATTAACTATTTTTATTTATTTATTTTTTGCACTACTGAGTTGTTTGAGTTCCTTATATAGTCTGGTTATTAATCCCTTGTTGCATGGATAGTTTTCAAATATTTTCTCGTATTCTGTGGGTTATCTCTTCACTTTGTCGTTTGTTTCCTTTGCTGTACAGAAGCTTTTTACCTTGATGTGGTCCCATTTGTCTATCTTTGCTTTTGTCATCCATGCTTTTGAAGTCTTACCAAAAAAAAAAAAAAATCTTTGCCCAGTCCAATGTCCTGGAGAGTTTCCCTAATATTTTCTTTTAGTAGTTTCATAGTGCCAGGTTTTACATTTAAGTCTTCAATCCATTTTGAGTTGATTTTTGTATATGATGAAAGATAGGGTTAATTAACCTTTTAAAATCTCAGTTTGCTAATCTGAAAACAAAAATCAATAAACAGAATCATAATCATACCAAACTCAGAGGGCAATTGTGAGGGTTAAGTGAAATATCGCATACGAAGCACTAGCAAAGAGTCTAGCACATAAACACTCAGTGAATGTTAGCTATTAATGACCTTAGGACAATTTCCGATACCTAATAAACTTACATTGAAGGAACACATGCAACTGCATATATGCTATAATGAAGCATAGTTAGGGAGGGTGACGAGTGCTTTATAGGGAAAGGCATGCAAAAGAACTTATTGAAAAGAAACTGCAGCATGACAGACTAGAACCCGGAAATACACTATGTACCTGACAATATGATAGTATGTATAGGACAGTTTTTTTTTTCTGTATTTGTACATCATGTTGCTTCTTGGATCACCTCTCCTCTACCAAAAGAAACCATAATTCATATCCTTTTCTTTCTTCCACTTTATATTTCCCTGTTTTCTTATGAAGGGGCTGGAGCTTTGGCAATAATGAAAAAGTTACATATGTGTATGCTCTAAGTAGATTGTAAATTTCTGAAGGATAATTTTTGCCTCCTTCCCATGAAACACTTAACTATATTTTAAGCATTTAATAAATGTTTCAAATCCCGTCTGGCACACTAAATTCTCAACTAACATTTGTTGGATGATTGAATTTATAAGTGAGCAGTTATTGTGCTCCCCTCCTCTACCCACAGGGATGCTCCCTGAGACACTTCTGTCAGGAGTACTAGTTTCTTCTTCTTCTCCTTCTTTTTTTTTTTTTTTTTTTTTAACGGAGTCTCACTCTGTCACCCAGGCTGGAGTGCAGCGGCGCGATCTTGGCTCAAGGCAACCTCCACCTCCCGGGTTCAAGCGATTCTTGTGCGTCAACCTCCCTAGTAGCTGGGATTACAGGCACGCGCCACCATGCCCGGCTAATTTTTGTATTTTTAGTAGAGACGGGGGATTCTCACGATGTTGGCCAGGCTGGTCCCGAACTACTGATCTGAGGTGATCCACCTGCCTCGGCCTCCCAAAGTGCTGGGATTACAGGCGTGAGCTACTGCACCTGGCCAAGAGTACTATTTTCATTTACCAAACATATATATCTGATTCTTTTTGAAAAGGCTTTGAGCAGCTTTTAGTGTTATTTACTGCATGAGACAAAAAATAATTAGGGAAATGGGAGAGAACACACTTATTTAAGATAAAACTCAACATATGCCAGTAAGGATCACAGTTATTACAAGTTGGTAGCAAGTTTGGTTCTGAGCTTCCTAGCAGCCATCATAAATTTAATTATATAATTCACCCTGTCCTTACAATTCAAAACAATTATTCAGCTATTTCAGTTACCAAAAACAGAATTTTCATTTCCGTTTTCATGAAAGGATTCTTTTTTTGATATAATTAATGCCTTCAAGAATATTGTATAGTAAATGTAAAACTGGTCTCTTTGGCCTATTTTGTTGCATAATCCTTGATGTAGCCCCATGTCATAATGCCAAAATGAAGGTTAGCAGATGGATTCTAAAAGGGACCAAAACAATTTTGTCTTGGTGTGAAGCTCTGATAATCTAGTTTAATTGAATGAAAAAAATCATGTCCCAAAACAAAATGATTGTAGAATCGTCTTCCGAAAATATTTATTCCCTACGATTAAGTTTAGGTTAAGTGTTAGGCAGTGGAGACTTGGCTGCTACAATCTTGAACAGGCACCTGCAATGTCGGTAATAGTATTACGTCTTAGAGACGTAAAGAAACCTTTTACATTTACGAAGGTTCTGGAACCCTTCAGGTCACGTGACTACACAGGAAGCCATTTTACAACCCCAACGAGGCGGACCATGGAGTGTCCCGAGGGACGGCTCCCCGTTTCTTCAGAAAATGATTCAACACCAACAGTTTCAACATCGGAAGTAACTAGCCAACAAGAGCCCCAAATTCCTGTCGACCGTGGGTCTGAAACCACCTGTGAAAGCAGCGCCGACATTGCTGGCGACCAAGGCACCCAGATTCCTGCCGACCAGTACGCTCAAACGGATGCGGACGGCAGCGCCCAGGCTGCTGCCCAGGCCCCAGAAAACTTCCAGGAAGGGAAAGGTAGGTGGCTTTTTAAACTTGTTCCCCCAGCCGAGGACCTTCTTTAGGAGAAACAAACTGCTTTTAGTTCGATTCAAAATTTGTTTGAATTGCGGCCCCCTTGAGGAGCAGTGGGCGACGGAACTTGTGCCCCTCTCCAGAGGATGTAAAATGTTGACTCTGTTGAGGAGAGGGGAGCAACTGATCATGTTAGAGGGCTTTGGGCACGGATTCTAGCTGTTCAGTGGGTTTGCCCGGCGGTGTATTTGTCACCAGGCAAGGTCACCGTGCCTAGGGACAAACCGTCCGACCTAACGGAATGGTGGAGCAACCAAAAGCGAGCAACTCGTTTTTATTGTTTTTCTTTTTTTTTCGACGGAGTTTTGCTCTTGTTGCCCAGGCTGGAGTGTAGTGGTGCGATCTCGGCTCACTGCAACTTCTGCCTTCCGGGTTCAAGCGATTCTCCTGCCTCAGCTGCCTGAGTAGCTGAGATTACAGGCGCCCGCCATCATGCCTGGCTAATTATTATTATTATTAATAGAGACGGGGTTTCAACATGTTGGCCAGGATGATCTCGAACTCCTGACCTCAGGTGATCCACCCATCTCGGCCTCCCAAAGTGCTGGGATTACAGGCGTGAGCCACCGCGCCCGGTCCAACTCGCCTCTTAGGAGTATCGCTGTCGCCTGGTAAAAACCTTCTGGCGCCCTGAAGGTTGCCCCTGTGTAAAGGTATTTATTTATTTATTTATTTATTTATTTATTTATTTGGACGGAATCTCACTCTGTCGCCAGGCTGGAGTGCAGTGGCGCAATCTCGGCTCACTGCAACCTCCACCGCCCGGGTTCAAGCGATTCTCCTGTCTCAGCCTACCGAGTAGCTGGGACTACAGGCGCGCGCAGCCACGCCCAGCTAATTTTTGTATTTTTAATAGAGACGGGGTTTCACCATGTTGGCCAGGATGGTCTTGATCTCTTGACCTCGAGATCTGCCCGCCTTGGCCTCCCAAAGTACTGGGATTACAGTCGTGAGCCACCCCGCCCGGCCAAGGCAATTTGTTTTGAAGCCTCGGTCTTGCTTCGAGAGGTCCCTGAGCGGTCGCGTCCCCCTGGGCCCTCCCCTCCGCGCTGGGCGCCTTTCTAGCCTTCCCGCCCAGCACGCGGTGAGCCGGCCACTGCCTCGAGGTCGTGCTTCAGTTGGCTGGGTAGCGCGACCGCGGAGGCGTGGCGAGGCGGGGAGGGGCCGGCGCGCGCCGCTCTTACTGTCCAGGCGCCGGCCGCCGAGCGTTTGCCTCTACGTTCCGCGCGGGAGCCCACGCGCGGTTCGTCCGGAGCCCACAGACCAGAGGCGCAGGTCACCAGCCCCTACAGCCTTTTCGGTGTTGGCGCCAGTCCGCGGAGGAGCGGGTGAGTCGAACGGCCGACCGGGCGTCCGGGACCGGGTCAGCGCCCCCGCCGCTGTGCACCCCGCCGTGGTGCACCCAGCTGCCCTCCCCAGCCCGCCTGCACGGTGAGGCCCGAAGGCTGGGACCCGTTGCGACCTGTTGGGCCTCGCGGGAGGTTTTCAAGGGAAAGTGGATCAAAGCCTAGGGGTGGAACTTTCCCTTTGAAAGCTTAGTGCCCAGGGGATAAGGATGGAGGTCAGTCTCTAAACTGTAGCTAGCGACTGCGAACTTGAAAAAAACACCCATTTAGGCGTGTACTGACTTGCATGGCCTGGAGCATGCTGCCAGGCGCCTTCCAGCCAATTATAATTCCAATTGTAATTCTGCTAAAGCGAGATGGGGCTAGGTGAATGGTGGGAAGGGGTCCTGTTAATTTAATCAGGTATCAAAGAGTGCTTGCTGGAAAAAAGCGGATGCTTTTTCTTAAAGTGAATAACGTACAACTAGTTGTTTAGGTAAATGCAAGTAAGAAATTTAAAAAATAATTAAAACCCAGTTCAACCAGGATTGTCTAACTTCTCTCCCACCGGACCTTTTATTAGGCCTGTTTATCAAACAACTACATTGAAATAGTTTCATTTCTTACATTCGTTCTTCCATAAAAGAGGAATTACCAAAAAGTCTTGGAAATGAACAAAATGCCCTAGTTTTAGTTCTGCTGAGAAATCTAAAAGTTACTACTGATCTGATAAAATCTTGCTTAGCAGCTAGTTCTTCAAATAATCTGTTCCTGCTCCCAGCCTTAATTGTTACTATGTTCTGTTAGGGAATGTGCTCAGCCCCCAGATTTTTTATTTATTTTAATCAACTCTCTTCTTGCATTTATATTTCTCTTTTGTATTTATAGATGCACATATATTCATATATATCTGCATGAAACAAGAAGAGAAGAAATTACAATCACAAATAATGCATCTTTCCCTCTCCCATCCTGGGTGTCTGCTTTTCTACTGCTGATTTTTTTTTTTTTTTTTTTTTTTGAGGAGTTTCACTGTGTCACCCAGGCTGGAGTGCAGTGTCGCCATCTTGGCTCATTGCAGCCTCCACCTCCTGGGTTCAAGCAATTCTCCTGCCTCAGCCTCCCAAGTAGCTGGGATTACAGGCGCCCACCACTTCTCCCGGCTAATTTTTGTATATTTAGTAGAGATAGGGTTTCACCATGTTGGCCAGGATGGTCTGGAACTCCTGACCTCAGGTGATCCTCCTGCCTCAGCCTCCTAAAGTGCTGAGATTACAGGTGTGAACCACAGCGCCCAGCCATCTTTCCACCTTTGAGAAAAGTCTCCCACAGAAGTGTGGGCCTGGCTGAGCACAGTGGCTCACACCAGTAACCCCAACACTTTGGGAGGCCGAGGCGGGTGGATCACCTTAGGTCAGGAGCTGGAGACCAGCCTGGCCAACATGGTGAAACCCCGTCTCTACTAAATATACAAAAAAAAAAAAAAAAAAAAAAAAAATTTTAGCCGGGCGTGGTGGCAGGTACCTGTAATGCCAGCTACTCGGGAGGCTGAGGTAAGAGAATTGCTTGAACCCGGGCAGCAGAGGTTGCAGTGAGCTGAGATCACGCCATTGCACTCCAGCCTGGGCAACAAGAGTGAAACTCTGTCTCAAAAAAAAAAAAACAAAACAAAAAAGTGGGCCCTAATACCCCAAATGCATGGTTCTACAAATACATCCCAAATACATGGAAAATAAGATTAGAAATAAAATCTTGGTTCATTGGGAGAACATAAAATTGAAAAATAATGAAAAAATGAAAAATAATGAAATAACTTGGGATCCAGCAATCCCACTTCTGGATGTATATCCTAAAAACTTGAAATCAGTGTGTCAAAGAGATATCTGCACACATATGTTCATTGCAGCATTACTCACAATAGCTAAGTTATGAAATCAATCTAGGTATGCAACAAGTGAATGGATAAATATGTGGTATGTGTACCCAACTGAATACTATTCAGCCTTTAAAAAGAAGGAAATTCTATCATTTGCAACAACATGGATGAATCTGGAGGATATTATATTAAGTGAAATAAGCCAGGCAGAGAAAGACAAAAATCACATATTCTCACTTATATGTGGAATCTAAAATAATTGAACTCACAGAAGCAGAGAGTAGAGTGTTGGTTATTACAGGCTGTAGTAGGGGGAGGGGCAGTGCGGAGATGTTGATCAAATAGAAAATTTCAGTTAGGCTGGTCCGATAGTAGTGGGATATTGTCAGAACTTATTAACATTAATGCCACTAAAGTTGGTATACAATCTCCCACTGCCAAATTTGGCTTTTAAAATTAAAAAAATGAAAGTTGCAGTTAAGGGGAATAACTGATAAGTATTTAAGGTGATGGATATGCTCATTAGATTGATTCAGTCATTTCACACTATATCATAACATCACTGTGTACCCCATAATTATATATGATTATAATTTGTCAAAAAAAGATTAACTTGGAAGGAAAGTATTCATTTCACCAAAGGTATATATATATTTTAAGTGAAGAGATCCATCTTAGGAGTTCTTTTAAATAACTTTTGGGGGCATTCGAAGTAAGTGGTGGTTGTAAGGATTATATGAAATGATAGACCTAATGTACTCAATGTAGTACTGGCCATACAGAATGCACACAATAAAAGGTAGTAATGAATGAAAGGGTAATAATGAATAAATCAAATCAGATTTTATGTTCTCCATAAAATCTCCATCTCAAAAACAAACAAACAAACAAACAAAACAAAACAAATAGAAAAGGACTGGACTCCATGCCGGGCGCAGTGACTCACGCCTGTAATCCAGCACTTTGGGAGGCTGAGGTGGGCGGATCACTTGGGGTCAGGAGTTTGAGACCAGCCTGGCCAACATGGTGAAACCCTGTCTCTACTAAAAAATACAAAAATTAGCTGGGTGTGGTGGTGCATGCCTGTAGTCCCAGCTACTTGGGAGACTGAGGCGGGAGAATGACTTGAACTCGGGAGGTGGAGGTTGCAGTGAGCCGAGATCGCACCACTGCACTCCAGCCTGGGTGACAGGGCGAGACTCTTGTCTTAAAAAAAAAAAAAAAAAAAGAACTGGACTCCCTAACTTTGAGGGTAGCTCAAAGCTGTTGTTGCTGGCTCTAGAGTCATAAAAAACTGCCTGGTCTCCCATGGACTGCTTAATTTCTACTAATCCATTAAGGTAGGTGAAATATTGAAAATCAAGCCCTTGCTTACTTCAAATCATCACAGATCATTTCTGCAAGTGGTTTCTAGGTCGATTTCAGCTTTTGGTTTGCATTCTTCCCTGCAGAGGTTATATAGTTTGCTTAGGGAGCCACCACCGTGTTGTTGAATTGTAGTCTTTTACCTGAGAGTCTAAGAATATGATTAAGAAGATGAAATCATGTTTCATAACAGCTGTTATTTCATTTGTTCATCAAATTACATCATGTAATTTGGATTGACTTTGAAAAATCTACACATATTGGAGAGGAGCTAAGGTAACGTCTAGAAATAATTAAGTTATGTCAAATAAGGTATTGTCTAACTGTACACACATCATTCTAGTGTGTTGGTCTAGTGTCTAGTGTTGTGGGCAAGATCTTGTATAATTTAAGCAGTACTACTAGAAGTGGTCAGGAGGGGGAGCAAGAGGAGTTTTTAGTGACTGTGTTGGTTTTCTTTTTGCTTTCCTGAACTCAAAATCAAGACATGAGTAAAAGCCAGGATGAAGTTCCTGATGAAGTTGAGAACCAGTTTATATTGCGTCTGCCTCTGGTAAGAATTTGTATCTCAGAACAAATATCTTCATAATTATAGTGTGTGTTTGTTTGTTTGTTTGTTTTTTGTTTTTGTTTTTGTTTTTTTTGAGATGGTGTCTTTGTTCTGTCACCCAGGCTAGAGTGCAGTGGCACAATCTTGCCTCACTGCAAGCTCCGCCTCCTGGGCTCACGCCATTCTCCTGCCTCAGCCTCCCGAGTAGCTGGGACTACAGGCGCCTGCCACCACGCCGAGCTAATTTTTTGTATTTTTTAGTAGAGACATGGTTTCACTATGTTAGCCAGGATGGTCTCGATCTCCTGACCTTGTGATCCACCCACCTCGGCCTCCTAAAGTGCTGGGATTACAGGTGTGAGCCACTGTGCCCGGCCAATTATAGTTTAATTATAATTATAGTTCTACTTGGATTCTGTAACATTTCTATTTCAGGTAGGCTATAAAAACTCAGAACATTTGTTTCCCAGGAATCATGTTCTGTAAGCAGTCCTATCATAGCGTGTACTTTTTTGGCAGCATTTTTTCCTCCTGTACATACTACCTATCATGCAGGTTGATTTCCTGGCAAAACAGCTGTGACAATGATGGACCCAGTCACTTACTACCAATACTAACAGCCTGTTCCCTGGACAACCAAGATAAGACTCCTCTGAAATCCTTTCTGTCACCTCAAAAGGGGCAGTGAGAAGGGCCAGCATTATTCACCACCATGCAAGACTTTTAAAGCTCATCTCAACAAGTATTTGGCTGTCTTTCCCCACACTGATACCCGTATTCAAGCAATTACTTAGTCTAGGCAGCTATATTAAGGATGGGGTTCAGAAACCTATTTCCCTAATTAGGGTTACTTAATATACCAAGCAAACTGCAACTAGGTAAGCCTTTCTTTAGCAACTATAACAGACGGGTAGCAGGATTGTAGAGCTGGGGGAAAGTATTAACTGTAGCTACTAAGAGACAATTATGAGTTTAGAGTCAGCTTCATCCTAACTTGACTTATACAGTGCACAGTATCTCATGGTACATGGTCTTGTTAGTAACATTTGGGAGGTGTAAGGTTTTATTTAAGGGAGGACTTTGTTTGATATATTTATTCTGTTAGCTGCCAAGTAGATGTTTAGTTCTTCTGATTTTTCAATTTACCTCCTTTTTAGGAACACGCTTGTACTGTCAGGAACCTAGTACATTCTCAAAGTGTCAAGATGAAGGATAAACTGAAAATTGACTTACTGCGTAAGTAGCTAATATCCATTCACTATACATTGAACAATAATTTATTAAGGGATTGCTATGTGCCAGGCACTATACTTGGTACTAAGGATGTGAAAAATGATAGAATATAGTCTCTGACTTGATGGACTCATGCTTTAGAGAGGCTTAAGTCCTCTTCTTTTAAGAGGAAAGGAAGTAGGAATATTGCACCTCGAGTTGAGTGATTATCATAGTGTGTTTAAGGAAACTTGGGGGTCAACTGTGGGGTTTTCATACTGCTGGTAGTCTCCTATGTATAAACTTTATGATTTCTGAACATCCCCGGGAATGACAAATGGATATGCCATTCTTTGTTTGTAAAGGTGACATGTTTCTTTTTTTCCATTTTTTGAGATGCAGTCTTGCTCTGTTGCCCAGGCTGGAGTGCTGTGGCGTGATCTCGGCTCACTGCAACCTCCGCCTCCTGGGTTCAAGTGATTCTTCTGCCTCAGCCTTCCGAGTAGCTGGGATTACAGGCACGTGACACCATGCCTGACTAATTTTTGTATTTTTAGTAGAGACGTGGTTTCACCATGTTGGTCAGGCTGGTCTCAAACTCCTGACCTCTCGATCCACCTACCTTGGCCTCCCAAAGTGCTAGGATTACAGGTGTGCACCACCGGGCCTGGCCAGTGATATATATTTCTTTCTTTTAAATAGTATTTGTTATATTTGCAAATCGTACATCCAATAAAGGGGTTAATATCGAAATATATAAGGAACTCAACTCAATAGCAAGAAAACAAATAAACTGATTTTAAAATGGGCAAAGGATCTGAACAGATGCTTCTCAAAAGAAGACATACAAGTAGCCAAAAGGTTCATGAAAAAATGCTCAGCATCACTAATCATTAGAGGAATGCAAATTAAAACAACAGCGAGATATCACCTCATACCTGTTAGAATGGCTTTTATTAAAAAGAAGAACAATAACAACTGTTAATGAGGATGAGGAGAAAAGGGAACCTGTGTACCCTATTGGTGGGAATGTAAATTAATACAGCCTTTTTTTTTTTTTTTTTTTTTGAGATGGAGTCTTGCTGTGTCACCCAGGCTGGAGTGCAGTGGCACGATCTTGGCTTACTGCAACCTCCGCTTCCTGGGTTAAAGTGATTCTCCTGCCTCAGCCTTCCGAGTAGCTGGCTCTACAGGCGTGTGCCACCACACCTGGCTAATTATTTTGTATTTTTGGTAGAGATGGAGTTTCACCATGTTGACCAGGCTGGTCTCGAACTCCTGACCTCAAGTGATACACCCACTTTGGCCTCCCAAAGTGCTGGGATTACAGGCGTGAGCCACTGTGCCTGGCCTACAGCCATTATTATTTTTTTTAATGGTATGGAGGTTCCTCAGAAAACTAAAAATAGAACAACCATATGATCCAGCAACCCCACTTCTGTGAATATATTCACAGAAGGAATTGATAGCAACACATTGAAGGCATATCTCTCTGCACTCCCATATTCATTGTAGCATTATTCAAAGTAGCCAAGATATGGAATCAACCTAAGTGTCCATCAGTGGATGAATGGATAAAGAAAATGTGATACGTATACACAATGCCATACTACTCAGCCTTTTAAAAAGAACAAAATTCTGTCATTTGGGACACCATGGGTGAATCTAGAGGCCATTTGCACCAAGAGCATGCATGCTCTTGTAAATAGGTAAATAAGTAAATAAATAAATAAATGTTTTCACACAAACTTATCTGCATAAAAAACACACAACCAAAAATAGATAAATAAATTTTGCTAGTTTATTTTTTTTAATACAGAGAAGTATATAGAAAACAAAAAGTGGCCCATAATCTCACCAGTTAGTTAACACTGATTGATATTTTTTTTTAAAGATAATATAAGTTCATAGTTAGAAAATTCAAATAAAACAGGCCAGGCGTGGTGGCTCATGCCTGTAATCCCAGCACTTTGGGAGGCTGAGGCGGGCAGATCACTTGAGGTCAGGAGTTCCAGACCAGCCTGGCCAACATGGCGAAACCCCATCTCTACTAAAAATGCAAAAATTAGCCAGGCATGGGGGTGCACACCTGTAATCCCAGCTATTTGGGAGACTGAGGCATGAGAATTGCTTGAACCCAGGCGGCGGAGGTTGCAGTCAGCAGAGATCGTGCCTGCACTCCAGCCTGGGCAACAGAGAGAGACTCCTAAAAAAAAAAAAAAAAAAAAAATCAAATGAAAAAGAAAAGTTCAAAAGGAGAAGAAATAAAACTCTTCTTCTTTATGGTGCCCCAACCTCAATACCACAGATAACTGATATTAACTGTTTCTTGTCACTTCCTTATTGGCAAAACTTTTATGCATAATACTAGAATGGAAACAATCTAATTCACACAAAATGGTAAACATTGTTTTGTGTCTTTCTTTCTTCACATAGTACTAGAAGATTATACTTGAATCCTCTTGTGTCAAAAGACATTCATGTTTGGGACATCTGAGCAGCAATATTCAGAGTTTAATATATGGCTGTTGTATAGAATTTTATCTTTTTGAAGCTAATTAGAGATTTAACTTGAGACTTATTAGCACCATTCTAGGGTCAGTCAATCCTTCCCTCACCCAGCCCTTTGAAAACACACATGTACAATGACACGATTAAATGCTTCTAAAAAGAAAGGAATTGGTTTTAATGAATGGAATTTGCTTTGCAGGATGAGAATGAAACATTTATTGCTTCACACATATTTAGTTCACATCCATTAACAAGAAACTTAGCTACTTTTGCCCAAGTGATGTAAACTAGGAAAAAAAGAGTTCCATATGCTTTCCATTTTTTTCTTTAGGAAGCTATTAATTGTGTACACAATTTTAGCATTATGAGAGATAGTAGGTTTCTTGGAAAGACTAGTCTGTCCCACATAAGTCTTCATTATTCAAACCTTAGGAAGTTTAAGAGTTCACTGGGAAGATATCAACTTTAATCTTTACTTCTCTTCAGCTGATAGGCGCCATGCAGTTGTTGAAGTAGAAGATGTTCCACTAGCTGCTAAGCTGGTTGATTTGCCTTGTGTTATTGAAAGCCTGAGAACGCTTGATAAAAAAACTTTTTATAAAACAGCAGACATTTCTCAGGTATGGACTAGTTTTCTTTACTAGCCTCACATCCTTCAAGGAATTCTTTTCTCTCCCTATTTTTCTTTCTTTCAGTACTCCTTTCCACTTGGTGAATGGCTGCTTGGCATTTCTAATTTCCAGATCGATTGCACAGGAATGAAATGTCATGTGCTGGTTTGGTGTTTGATCCCTAGATTTCAGTATTTTATTTTAACCAAATAGCCTATAGAGAGTCCCATTTGCCACTTATAGTGACTTTTCATTAATTGAAACATATGAGCAGCTGGGATCTTCTGAACTTTGTATTAAAACAGTATGTTGTTAACTCTGGAGGTTTAAATTGGTTCTTATTCATCATCTCTGCTGTTGATTTCTTATTTCCTCTCTAAATCAAAATGCTGAGATAGGCCAGGCACAGTGGCTCATGCCTATAATCCCTACACTTTGGGAGGCTGAGGCGGGAGGATCACCTGAGCCCAGGAGTTTGAGACCAGCCTGGGCAACATAGTGAGACTTCATCTCTATAAAAACAAAATTAGCCAGGTGTGGTGGCACACACCTGTAGTCCCAGCTATTCTACAGATTGAGGTGGGAGGATCACTTGAGCCCAGGAGGTCGAGGCTGCAGTGAGCCATGATCACGTACCATTGCACTCCAGCCTGTATGACAGAGCAAGACTTTGTCTAAAAACAAAACAAAACAAAAAACCTAAACTAAGTTCCAAGATCTGTTTCCAATATATTCCCTCTGTAGTGGCAAACACTCTAGTGGGGGAAAAAAAAACCCTCAGAGTTCATATGTAGTGCTGCTGGTGGCTGGTGGAGGGGAGGAGAGGGAGAGAGAGGGACTGCAAAAATGAGAGAATATAAATGTACATTACAAAATACTTGGTTTTCTGGAAATGGCAAGTATCAGTCTCTTCTGTGCATTTCTAGTGGTAAGAATGATTATGATTGCTAACCCAAAATTTGTGGTCATAGTCAACTTCCTTGTCTTTGTTAAATGTAGATGCTTGTGTGCACTACTGATGGTGATATCCACCCTTCTCCAGAAGAATCAGCTGCCTCTGCTGATCCTAATATAACCAGGAAAAAAGAAAGGGAGAGAGAGAAAAAATATGTCTGGAAGCATGGCAGTAAGTCAATAGCCCCTTGATCATTCCTGCTGACTAAAATTTATTTGCTGAATCCTAATTCCTGGTGAAACAGGGACCTCTTACCACACTTAGGTGTTTGGTTCATTAAGTTCTCAGACACTCTTAAGAGGAGTCATGTTGGCTGGGCACGGTGGCTCACGCTTATAATCCAGCACTTTGAGAGGCCGAGGCGGGTGGATCACCTGAGGTCAGGTGTTTGAGACCAGCCTGGCCAACATGGTGAAACCCCGTCTCTACTAAAAATACAAAAATTAGCTGGGTGTGGTGGTGGGCGCTTGTAATCCCAGCTACTCAGGAGGCTGAGGCAGGAGAATCGCTTGAACCGAGGAGGAGGAGGTTGCAGTAAGCCGAGATCGCACCACTGCACTCCAGCCTGGGCAACAGAGTGGGACTCGATCTCAAAAGAAACAAAACAAAACAAAACAAAGGAATCATGTCATGAGCCTTTGGTTTATAGCATGATCTTTGTCTTTATCAAATTCAGCTATGTGACTACCATCAATCATATAACGTTTCACTGTGTTGTATTTATTTTAGTTACTCCACCACTTAAGAATGTCAGAAAGAAAAGGTTCCGGAAAACACAAAAAAAGGTTAGTTACATGCAGTTTGTGTGTCTGCCGGGCTGATTAGAAGAGGATCATGGGCCAGAAGGAAAGAGAAAAAGTCAGTTGGGAATTAATTTGTTAATTCATTTATATGTTCAATAAACATTTATTGAATGTGAACTAAATGCCAGGCGCTGTATGCTAGCAGTTGGGAATATAGCAGTGAATAAAAATACCTGATCCTTTAGGTTATAGGCTAGTCATTTGGGGTCTGGAAGAATCATACATTTGAAACTTCTGTTAATGCTTTCAGTTTTCGATTGCAAGATCTAGTTTTAAAGTGAACCCATCCAGAACCTGAAAATTGGGAATTGTGGTTATATTCCTAGTCTTATTTTAGGCTTATAGAACCTTTGCCAAACTACAGGAGTATTGTGGCTTGGCTTCTTCTTTTGTTTAAAATTAAACATTTTATTTTGAAATAATTGTAAACTCACATACAGTTGTAAGAAATAAAAGAGAGATATCGTGTACCTTTTTGCCATTTTCCCCATTTTGTAAAACTATAATACAATATCACAAACAGGTAATTGACATGATTAGAATTCAGCAATCTTATTCCAATTTCTCCAGTTTTACTTGTACTCATGTATTTTTGTGCATGTGTTGAGTTCTATGCAGTTTTATCCCATGTGTAAGTTCATGTATCTGCCTACACAGTCAAAATACAAAACAGTTTCATCATCAAAAGGATCCCTCATTTTGCTTTTATATAACCATGCCCATTTTCCTTCCACCTCACACCCCAGTCTCTGACACTTGGTAATCACTAATCTGATCTCTATCTCTGTAATTTTGTCATTTCAAAAATTTAATATTAATGGAATCATGTAGTATATAACATCAGAGACTAGCTTATTTTTTCATTCAGCATAATTCACTTAAGATCCATGTAAGTTTTTGTAGCATTAATAGTTTATTTTTTATTGCTGAGTAGTATTCCATGGTATGAATGTACCACATTATATAACTGTTCTCCCATCGAAGAACATCTGGGTTGTTTACAGGTTTTGACTATTATAAATAAAGCTGTGAACAGGTTTTTGTGTGAATATAAGTATTCATTTCTTTGGAATAAATGTCCAGGAGTATAATTGCTGGGTCATATGGTAGTCGCATGTTTAGTTTGATAAGAAACGACCTGTTTTCCAGAGTGACTGTACCATTTTATATTCCTGCCAATAATGTATGAATGATCCAGTTCCTCCACCTCCTCACCAGCGTTAGGTGTTGTCACTATTTTTCATTTTAGCCATTCTGATAGGTGTGTAGTGATCTCACACCACACCACTAATGTAGTGGTATTAATTTACATTTCCCTGATACCTGATGGGGTTGAACATCTCATGTGCCATCTATTCCACTTCAATGAAATGTCTGCTCATGCCTTTTGCCTATTTTCTAAATTGATTTTTTATTATTGAGTTTTGAGAGTTCTTTTTATATTCTAAATACTACTAGTGTTTTATCAGATATGTAGTTTGCAAATATATTCTCCCAGTCTGTAGCTTGTCTTTCCATCCTCTTTGTAGGGTCTTTCAGAGAGCTAAAATTTTTAGTTTTGATGAGGCACAATATATTGATTTTTTTGAAAATGATCTTGCTTTTTATGGTAAATCTAAGAACTCTTCGCCTAGCCCAGATCCTGAAGATTTTCTCCTGCTTTTTTTTTTAACTTCTTTTTAAGCCCGATGCCCATTTTTGACTTAATTTTTGTAAAGCTATGAGGTTTAGTTCAAGGTTTTTGTTTTTTATTTTTATTTTTGCTTTTCTTGCCAAAGGATGTCTAATTGCTCTAGCACTGTTTGTTGAAAAGGCTATCCTTCCTCTGTTGTATTGCTTTTGCACCTCTGCCAAAATCAGCTGGGCTTGTTTTTGTGGCTCTGTTTCTAGGTTCTCCATTCTGTTCTATTGATCCATCTGTCAATCCCTCCACCAATATCACAGTGTCACTATATAATTGGTCCTGAAATTAGAAAGGCCTGAAATTAGAAGGCTGATTGCTCTGACTTCACTTTTCTTTGTCAGTATTGTTTAGCCATTCTACAGTCCATATCTTTATTTATTTATTTATTTATTTATTTATTTATTTATTTATTGAGACGGAGTCTTGCTCTGTTGTCCTGGCTGGAGTGCAATGGCACGATCTCAGCTCACTGCAGCCTCCACCTCCCTGGTCAAGCGATTCTCGTACCTCAGCTTCCCAAGTAGCTGGGATTACAGGCATGGGCCACCATGCCTGGCTAATTTTTGTATTTGTAGTAGAGACGGGTTTTACCATGTTGGTCAGGCTGGTCTTGAACTCCTGACCTCAGGTGATCCGCCTGCCTTGGCCTCCCAAAGTGCTGAGATTACAGGCATGAGCCACCATGCCTGGCCAAAAGCCTATATCTTTTAATGTAAGTTTTAGAATAAGCTTGTCTATAGCTACAGAAAACCTTGCTAGAATTTTGGCAGGAATTACATGAAACTTATAGATCAATTTGGGAAGAATTAACATTTTTACTATGTTGAGTCTTCCAGTCCATGAACACAGTTGCCTTGGTTTTTATACTCTGTAAGTCAACATTTATTGAGTGCCTACTCAATGTAAAACAAAGTTAAGAATAGTTGTAGAACTCTTTAAGCTTTACTGAAATATAGGCATCATAATATAACTTGTTTATTGTGTTTTATTTCATAGGTCCCTGATGTCAAAGAAATGGAAAAAAGCAGCCTTCCTGAGGTACAGCAGTCATAATATAACTTCATTTTTACCCTTAATATATTTTATTTAATAGCTCATTCATTTCAAATGAATCAAATCAACCACAAAAGCTACTTTTGAGCCTTCCTTCTCACCTCTAACCCTCATCCTAAACACATACACTGGGTTTGATTCACTGAAAAATGAATTCATTGTTTGATGTTTGATAACTCCTGGAGGAAAAGATACAATTTGGCCAGTGACCCCGTGTATTCTAATCTGCTCTTTTTATTCTGACATTTATTTCAAAAGCCATTCCTTGGGAGCCTGAGTGCACTTTTAACAGCAGTTGTTTGCAATTGCTTATTCCCCATCAAAGTCCTAATTTCTATTTGTGGCATGACAAATTGGTTGCTGTGGAGATAATTATGTAAAACTGGATTCAAGGGAGAACATACAGCTAAGATCCAGTTTTTGTAGGAACGTCTCTAATAATAAAGATGTGAGGAAGTGAAATCTGGGAATTTGGATCTTTAAACCAAATTATTTCTAAATAACTAATAAGGAATTATAGTTCTTTGCCAATATAAACCAGGACAAATAATTTATAACTGAGACCTAAGGGTTGCACCTCTGAGAGAGGTCTTTACCATAGAACTGCAGATTGAAAAGATTAAATGTCTCAAGTAATTTGTTTAATTAGGAAAAAATAAGTTTACTGTATAAAATTCTAGACCCTGGCTAAAGATTCCTTCATAAATAGCACTACTTAAAGTAGAAATTTGGTTGGATCAGAATTTAAAGAGGCCTAACATTTGAATTCATTGGTACATAGGAGGGCACTCCTGCAAAACACAGGGTGTTAAATGACAGTATTGGTATCCCCCTCTAATCCCCAACTTTGCTTCAGTACATTGAATCTCCAGATGTGGAAAATGAAGTAAGGAGACTGCTGCGTTCAGATGCTGAAGCCATAAGTACCCGTATCCTTTATACAAATATTTTCTGCATAGTCTGTTCTGCCCCATTTGTACATGCTAACGAAGCCTCACCTCTGGTGTTTGTGTGCCAGCCTTGATGTGTAAAACTTAAGATTTTTTCAAATGTTATGTTCTAGCTAGGAACAGCAAATTCATGTAATAGAAAATTATTTATTGTGTAATTCAATATAAAGCACTTCTCCAAGCTAGGAATTCCAATACAAATGGCCTAAACTTGGACTAAATTAAATAGCACTGTTAGTCAAAGAGCCCCTTCCCTTTCAGCTGTGCCTTTTTGTTTCCTTCTGTTTTTTCCTTGACTACCCACTCCTTTCAGGTTGGGAAGTCGTTGCTGAAGATGGAACCAAGGAAATAGAAAGTCAAGGCTCCATCCCAGGATTTGTGATATCCTCGGGAATGAGCAGCCACAAGCAGGGTCATACCTCATCAGGTACTTTAGTAAAGGCAAAGCAGGAGTTTCAGATAGGGCAGGTATTGACTGGGTATCAGATCATTTTCCATAAATTCATAGGCCAATCCAGAAAAAAAGGATGGTTTCATCCTTCCCTCTTTTTTTTTTTTTTTTGTTTTGTTTTGAGATGGAGTCTTGCTCTGTCGCTCAGGCTGGAGTGCAGTGGTGCAATCTTGCAGCTCACTACAACCTCTGCCTCCTGAGTTCAAGTGATTCTCCTGCCTCGGCCTCCCGAGTAGCTGGGATTACAGGCGTGCACCACCACGCCCACCTTATTTTTGTATTTTTAGTAGAGTCGGGGTTTCACCATGTTGGCCAGGCTGGTCTTGAATTCCAGACCTCAAGCGATTTGCCTGTCTCAGCCTCCCAAAGTGCTGGGATTACAGGCATGAGCCACTTTGCCTGGCCTTTTTTTTTTTTTTTTTTGGGAGACAGAGTCTCGCTCTGTTGCCTAGGCTGGAGTGTAGTGGTGCGATCTCGGTTCACTGCAACCTCCGCCTCCCAGGTTCAAGTAATTCTTGTGCCTCAGCCTCCCAAGTAGCTGGGATTACAGGCATGTACCACCACACCCAGTTATTTTTTCTTTTTTTCTTTTCTTTTCTTTCTTTTTTTTTTTTTTTTTTTTTTTTTAGTAGAGATGGGGTTTTGCCACGTTGGCCAGGCTGGTCTCCAACTCCTGGCCTCAAGTGATCTGCCCGTGTTGGCCTCCCAAAGTGCTGGGATTACAGGCGCGAGCCACCACACCCAGCCCTTCTTCCCTCTTATTGGTCCCTTGGCAGTTTCGGGGTTTTAGATTGGTGTTCTAATCTCCCATCCACCGCTGGTATCTTAACTTCCTATGACCCTTAGAGTCTCTAAATGTCTTGATCACTCACTACATGAATGAATGTTACAGTGTTTTGCACTTGCTGTCCTTGTTTTACAAAGGGAATAATCTTCCTGCATGAAAAAAATGTTTTATAAAATTTACTGGTTGCCTGGGGAATGTGAAAGTAAGGAGTATAATTTTATCTGGAGTATGAGTCATTTGCAGAGTTTTAGATAGTTCACCTTCCTCTTGCTTAAAACCAGTAGAATATGATATGCTTCGGGAGATGTTCAGTGATTCTAGAAGTAACAATGATGATGATGAGGATGAGGATGATGAAGATGAGGATGAGGATGAGGATGAAGATGAAGACGAAGAAGAAGAGGAGGAAGATTATTCTGAAGAGTGTCTGGAAAGGCAGCTTCAGGCCAAGTTTATTGAATCTGGCCAGTATAGGGCAAATGAAGGTACCAGTTCAATAGGTAAGTCAGAGAAAAAAACAAAGGGATGGGACCAGGGTGGGTGGCAGTGCTAAAGGCTGACTCTAAGCATACATTAGACCCAAAGCTAAGCTCAAGAAGTTATTGCTCAGATGTGTAGTGGAGTTTTACTTGATTTGGATCTTAGTCCATTCATTTAGGCTATATTTAATATATAAGTTCTGTGTATCTCTGTTAGCCATGGAAATTCAGAAGCAGATTGATAAAAAGGAGAAAAAGCTCCATGAGATTCAGAATAAAGCACAAAGACAGAAGGATCTCATCATGAAAGTGGAAAACCTGACACTCAAGGTAAATTCTTGGCTGGCATAAAGAAATCCTGATCTCTTACTTTCAGTATCTTGCCTTTGTGTTTCCACTTATGTCATCTCTATGCAGGGTTCTTGTTCATTCATGAACCTTAACAGCCTCTTAGAAACTCCTAATAAAAGATAACCCCGTTTCCTTTTACCTGAGTAATTTTGATCATCTAATATAAGCATTTTGGGGAAGGGACTAGGTGATTTGAGATAAAAAATGCCATTATTGAGCATTTGCTATGTAAAAGGCACATAAAGAGCTAAGAATTGTGTACACATATTATCACATTTTATCCTCACATCCTTGAAACATAAATACTGTCACCACTCCCATTTTATAGATAAAGAATGGAAACTCAAAGAGGTTAAGTAACTTGCCAGGGATCACAGTAAATGGTAGGGCATAGATTGAATCCTGTTATATTTATTAAAATGTATACATTGCAGTAAAAAGGAGAAATAATTAGTTTTTAAATTTTTGGTGCATTTTGAACAAGAATAAATATTTTTATTAATATATGTTTAAGAGCTTCAACAAAAAGAAAATGTATGTTTAGGTCATGTTTGCTTCCCTTTTTTAGTGAGGGAAGTTCTGAAGCATTTGGAATTTCCTGCCAGATTTCATTTTCTTCAGAGCTGTATTCAGCAAATGGGAGCACAGAACTATACCCTTTTTGGGTGTTGTCCTTTAGAATAACCAAGTAAGATAACAGATAAGGGCACATTTTGAAAGATACAGATATATGCTATTGTTGTGATTATTGTTACATGTAGTACTAGTTAGGAATAGTGATACTCTGCCCTAGTTAGAGGAAATGGAGGAGTCATCAGCACCAGATTCTAAGCCAGCTTCTCTAACAGGTCACCACAGACAAAGGATTTGTGCTAAACTAGAAAAAGGTAACATAAGGGCATTCCAATCACTTAGGGTAAGACAAAAAAAAAAAATGCTATAGAGTGTATATAAAATCAAATTGGATGGTACTGTAGTTAGGGGGGGATAGTTTTTATACTCTAAATCCTTTAAAAAGAGTGCTCTTTTGTATGACAATTTATTATTTGCGGCTGGGCGCAGTGGCTCACGCCTGTAATCCCAGCACTTTGCGAGCAGAGGCAGGTGGATCACTTGAGACAAGGAGTTTGAGACCAGCCTCGGCAACACAGTGAAACCTCATCTCTACTAAAAATACAAAAATTGGCCAGGCGTGGTGGCATGCTCCTGTAATCCCAGCTACTCAGGAGGCTGAGACATGAGAATCACTTGAGCCTGGGAGGCGGAGGTCGCGTGAGCCAAGATTGCGCCACTGCACTCCAGCCTGGGTGATGGAGGAAGATTCCACCTCAAAAACAAAAACAAAAACAATTATTTGCCAAACTCCTTGCCTCCCTTGGTTTTTTTTTCCTTTGAGACTCAGTGTTCATCATTTATACAATTTATTTTTCAGAATCATTTTCACTCTGTGCTGGAGCAGCTTGAGATACAGGAAAAAAAAAAAAATGAGAAGGTAAGAAGTATATTTTCAAATTAACCAGAAAACATTTGATACAGAGAATCCCCCAGCTCACTTCCAATATTATTGCTGGCTGTTCCTCTCATAGGAATAGTGGTAGCCAAATCTTCTAAATGAAGGTAGCAGGGTGGAACAAGGTCTTTGTGAAAGTTCACTCATTCAACAGATATTGAGTGCCTATGAAGTAAAAAGCACTGGATGTACAGTGTTGAATAAGATAAATATAATACAGTAAATCTTCAGTGTCATTGATAGGTTCTTGGAAACTGTAACTTTAAGCAAAATGAAGTATATATAATGAAACTAATTTTACTATAGGCTAACTGATATAAAGAAGAATTGAGTTCCTATAGCATATTTCTGGTTACAAAAACATCACCAAACTTCTAAATAAAAACCAAAACACTTCTAATATTAAACATTGAAATAAATGTGAGCTATACATACATTTGAGAAAGACTGATAAAAACAAGTAAGACAATTATGTACCCAGTGATTCTAGTTCAGGGTCTCAGATGGCCAGAGCCTATCCCAGCAGCTCAGGGCGCAAGGTGGGAGCCAGCCCTGGATAGGATGGCATCCCATTGCAGGGCACGCTCACACCCACTCTCACTCAGACTGGGACAGTTCAGACAGACCAATTCACCTAATGTGTACGGGGAAGTGATTTTGTTTTTCTCATCAACATTATAATGAGGCCAGGCGTGGTGGCTCATGCCTGTAACCCCAGCATTTTGGGAGGCTGAGGCGAGCGGATCGCTTGAAGTCAGGAGTTTGAGACCAATCTGAGCAACATGGTGAAAGCCCGACTGTACAAAAAATTAGCCAGTTGTGGTGGCATAAGCCTGTAGTCTCAGCTACTCGGGACACTAAGCCCAGGAGGTTGAGGCTGCAGTGAGCCATGATCACGCCACTACACTCCAGGTTGGGCAACAAAGTGAGACCCTGTCTCAAAAAAAAAAAAGAAAAAAGAAAAAGAAAAAAAGCATTATAATGAAATTACATTGAACTAACAATGTTATTTGGAGACTTTCTGCGTGTCATTTTGCTTAAAATTGCAGTTTCTAAGAACCTGTTGACATTAAGTGAGGACTTACTGTAACAAAATGACACTGAACAAAACGATGTTATTGGAGGACCTGCTGTACTTGTCCTCATGGAGCTGTCTAGCAGGGGAGATTGACAGTAAACAAATTATACAAATATAAAGGTACAAATTGTGAAGAAGTGCTATGAAGGAAAAAAGTCAATGGTGCTATTAGAATAAAGAGAGTCTTGAATTAATTGGGGGATCACGATAGACCTCTCCTAGGAGGTGCTATTGAAGCTGAGACCAGAAGGATTAGGTCCAGGCAAAGAGTGGGATGAAGAGCATCTTAGGTGGAGCATATGCAAGGTCTCATGTTCGGAAAGAACTTGGCCTCTTTGAGGACCTTTGGAGTATTTAAAGCCAAGAAGAGAATGGCTTAACATAAGGGTAGAGAAGTAGGCAGAGACCATAGTGTATGATTCCTTAAAGGCCATGATAAGGAGGATGGGTTTGGCCTTAAGTGTAGTGGGAAGCCCTTGAAGAATTTTAGATAGGAAAATCACATCTAATTAAAAAAAATTTTTTTTTTTTGAAATGGAGTCTTGCTGTGTCGCCCAGGCTGGAGTGCAGTGGCGCAATCTAGGCTCACTGCAACCTCTGCCTCTCGGGTTCAAGTGATTCTCCTGCCTCAGCCTCCCGAGTAGCTGGGACTACAGGCACGTGCCACCATGCCTGGCTAATTTTTTGTATTTTTAGTAGAGATGGGGTTTCACCGTGTTAGCCAGGATGGTCTTGACCTCCTGAACTCGTGATCCACCTGCCTCAGCCTCCCAAAATGCTGGGATTACAGGCATGAGCCATCACGTCTGGCCTAATTTAAACTTTTAAAAGATTACTCTGATTATTATCTGGAGACTGGGTTGGAAGGTGAGAGTGGAAGCAAGGAGGCTGGTTGGGAGGCTTTGTGGTACGCTAATAACAGAGGATGGTAACTTGGACTAAGGTAGTAGCAATGGAGATTGAAAGAATATAGATTAATTTTAAACTGCAATAAAAATGTTTTTATAACTGTTTGAGATGTAATTCATAAACCATACAATTCACCCATTTAGGCTGGGTGCAATGGTGCATGCCTGTAATCCTAGCACTTTGGGAGGCCAAAGTGGGCAGATGGCTTCAGCCCAGGAGTTCGAGACCAGCCTGGGCAACATGGTGAAACCCTGTCTCTCCAAAAATTAGCCAGGCATGGTGGTGTGTGCCTGTAGTCCCAGCTACTCGGGAGGCTGAGGTGGGAGGATTGCTTGAGCCTGGGAGGCAGAGGTTGCAGTGAGCAGAGATCCCACCACTGCACTCCAGCCTGGGTGACAGAGTGAGACTGCTTCAAACCCCGTCCTCCCCACCCCCCCCCCAAGTTACCCATTTAAAGTATACAATTCAGTGGCTTTTAGTATATTCAGAGTTGTACAACCATCACTGCAGTCAATTTTAGAATAGTTTCATCACTCCAAAAAGAAACCTTGTATCCATTAGTAGTCACTCCCCTCTCCATTTCTCCAGAACCTCTCCCCCGCCCAGCGCTAGGCAACCACTCATCTACTTTGTACTAATCTACTGCCTATTCTAGTTATTTCATACAAGTGAAATAATATAATACATGGTCTTTTGAGTCGAGCTTCTCTCACTTAGCATATTTTCAGGGTTCATCCATGTTATGGCATGTCTCAGTACTTTTTTCCATTTAAGACTGACTAATACTCCATTGGATCAATATACCACATTTTGTTTATTCATTCATCTGCTGATGGACATTTGGGTTGCTTTCACTTTTGGCTATTATGAATAATGCTACAATGAATATTGATATATTAGAGAATATATTTTAAAGGTAGAATTGATAGGAGTTGGGTCAATTACTGGGTGTTGAAGGAGAAGGAATCATTAAGGATGTATGCCAGATTTCTAACTTGAATGACAACTATATTTTTTCAAAGTCACAAGAGAGTGTACAGGGTGAAGAGAGAAGAAGGCAATATAGGCTAAATGAGGGTCAAGTAGCTGTATAGAAAATGTGTGCGGACTCTAACCTTATACTGTTGAGGGTTACAATTTTAAGGAGACTGGAGTTGGTATTATGAGGATGGGCTTAGCATGGTGCTCTTAAAGTACAGGCACTACTCCCCACCCCCATCCCCACAAGACCAGTGGAATTTTTATGTTCTATATATTCCCTTCCTGTCAGCAAATCACTTATTCAAGTACTGCTTTAAAACAATCAGATGAACAGTTAATGCCAGGGTTGTTTTAGTACCCACCAAACATCTTTGTTTTCACCAATGTAAGTACAGTTGTATGCTGCATAACAACATTTTGGCCAATGACAGACTGCATATATGATGGTGGTCCCACAAGATTATAATGGAGCTAAAAAATTCCTGTCACCTGGTGACATTATAGCCATCATAACATAACTGCCCAATTACTTAATTTTTTAATTATTTTAGTATAGCCTAAGTTTGTAGTGTTTATATAGTCTTCAGTAGTGCACGGTAATGTCCTAGGCCTTCACATTCACTCACCACTCACTCACTGACTCACCCAGAGCAACTTCTAGTCCTGCAAGCTCCATTCATAGTAAGTGCCCTATACAAGTGTACCATTTTTAATTTTTTATATTGCATTTTTAGTTTACCTTTTCTATGTTTAGATACACAAATACTTAACATTGTGCTACAATTGCCTACAGTATTCAGTACAGTAATATGCTGTACAGGTTTGTAACCTAGGAGCAATAGACTATACTGTGTAGCCTAGGTGTGTAGTAAGCTATACTATCTAGGGTTGGTATAAGTATGCTCTGTCATATTCACATCATGACAAAATTGCCTAAGGGTGCATTTCTTAGAACATATCCCCATTGTTAAGTAACACATGACTATAGTTAGTATTGAGGAGCAGCCTAGAAATGTAGCTGTAAATTTTATTTACTCAGAGTCCCTTATGTTAGTTCATTTATCCAAATTAGATTTAGTAGGTGTCTACTTTAAGCTACGCTCTGCAGGGAGCTATGATATGCTTATGATGCAGTCTGTGCCTTCATTTGGGGAGAAATTGACAAGAGGGGTAGGGACTTAAAGGCATGAGAGATTGTCCATGGATATTAAGGAAGGCTTCATGGAGAAGATGATATTTGACTGGGGCCTTAAAATATAGGTAGGGTTTTAATAAGGAGATAGGGAAAGGAGTGCATTCCATGAGAAAGCAGCATGCACACTGGCTCAGAGGTGGTGATGCCAGGGTGAACAGTTTAGATTTTTGGTGTAGGTCATAATGAGCCTTCAAAGCTTTTTTACCTGGGGAGTAACTCAGGAAGTTTTTTCTGCCAGAAGTATATAGGAGAAACTAGAGTAGGGACAGCCTGGAGCTTCAAAGGTGCAAGTGGTAGAAGCATACAGAACTTAACAATTGATTGGATTTACAGGGCAAAAAGGGGAACAAAGATGAGTCCAAAGCCTGGGCAACTGGGAAATGATGTGCCATTAACTGAAAATAGGATAACAAGAAGTGGATTTGGAGGGATATGTGGAGAGAAGTGCTTTTGAAAATGGGAAATTGGAGAGAGGCCCACACACAGAAATGATCATTGAAACTGTGGGGCTAGTTGAGTTAGCCTGGTTGACTGTTCAGCAAGAAGTCTGAATCTAAGGAAAAACCTATCTTTAGGGAGTGGCATGAAAAGAAAGAGCCTGCAAAGGCGAAAGAACTGGAGCAGTCACTGGTTGTAATCATGGTCAATCAGGGGTCACTCAGCAACCGAGTGAGAAGAGCCTCTAAGTTACTGCAGATAGCAATTATTGTGGCTTGGTAGGTGATGTGCAGCATAGGATTGTTTTATAATGTTCCTTTCATTTCACAAACTAAAAATTAATTCTGGTATGGAGTGTCCTGAAATGAATAATATTCAAAAACAACCTTTGTTATAAAGATGGCATACATCTGTGAATGTTATTGGTCACTTCACCATTTCAAGTTAAAAAAATTAAATCCTGTACCACAAAATATTCAAGGCTTCTAACTTAGAAAGCAAAAGTAGAACATCATCAGGCTCCTGATGGGTCAGGACTGACTAAGTTTCTAAGTATCTCCTAATGTGGTAAGAAGCAGCCAGTAAGACTCAGTCTAAGACCCATTGTGTTCACTGGGACAAGAGAGTGTCCCAACTGTTTTACCATCTGACTCTTAGAATATGGTTACGGAGATCCCATCTCCTTTGCCCCTACAGTGAGCTGTGACCTCTGTATATTCTTCACAGAAGCACAAATTCTTAATAGCAAACACATTTTTTAAAGCCTATTCAATTTTAAAGCTTAATATAGTTTGTCTGTGTCCCCACCCAAATGTCATCTTTAATTCCCACATGTTGTGGGAGGTACCCAGTGGGAGGTAATTGAATCATGGGAGCAGGTCTTTTCTATGCTGTTCTTGTGATAGTGAATAAGTCTCACGAGATCTGATGGTTTTAAAAAGGGGAGTTTACCTGCATAAGCTCTCCTCTCTTTGCCTACTGCCATCCATGTAAGACATGACTTACTCCTCCTTGCCTTCTACCATGACTATGAGGCCTCCAACCATGTGGAACTATATAAGTCCATTAGACCTCTTTTTCTTGCCAAACTCAGGTATATCTGTATCAGCAGCGTGAAAACTGACTAATACAAAGCTTCCCTTCATAAATTGGGCATAATAAAGGACATCATCATGGCTACAGCATTATGCATGCATTCTTGACTGTGGCCAGTATTCTCTGGAACATTGCAAGGCTAAGATAACCTTATAAATGCCAAATAACAATAGTTATTTTTGGTTCATGTAAGTAAATTCTAGATCAAGTAATGGGACTTCAGATTTCAAATGAATTTTTCATGTCTTTCTACTTCTCCCTACAGCTCATTTCCCTACAGGAACAATTGCAGCGTTTTCTGAAGAAGTGAGGAGAGCCATTGGCCTGGCACACAAACCTTGGATCCACCATCCAGACTGAAGACTGGATGAAACTGTGCATGTTTCTGTCCCTTCCGTTGCCTTATGTTGAATCAGTTATATTTATCTGTACCTTCTTTGCTACTTATAATATGCTCAAAGTTTGTAGTCATGTAGAAAAGGCCAGTATAAAAATATAGTAGACTTAGATACCCCACACGACCATGAGACTTTCTCTTTGTCAATTTGGGAATTATTATTATTAATTTAGAAATGGGGTCTTGTTAGGTTGCCCAGGCCGAATTCAGACTCCTGGGCTTAAGGGATCCTCCTGCCTCAGCCTCCTGAGTAGCTGGGACTACAGGTGTGCACCACCACACCAAACAAGAATTGATTATATTGCTTCTGTGCTATGGTACCAGCAGATGATTCAGTCATGCTTCCAAAGGCAGTCTAGTCTAGAGGCCATACAGCTGTTTGGTTTGCATATGTTTTAGCTTTTCTTTTGGTTTTTAGTATTTCCTAAAACATAGGGGAAAAAACGAGGTCATTTCTACTAAACACTAGAACCTGTCACAGTGAGTTTAAGTGCCTACCTTGCAGCAGTTAATACTAGATTGTGTTCTGTCTTTGTTCGGGCAACAGGGCTGCATTCCTGCTCAAGGATGATTTCTTGCTGCTGCTTATATTTGTTCTGTTGCTTCTAGGATGGAGCTGGTTGTTATTCACCAACTAAGGGAACAGTTAGAGCAGAGATGAATAAATTATGAACTGTTATCCTTATTCTGAGCCTTCTCCTCCTAACCCTTATTCTGAGCCTTCTCCTCCTAACCCCCATCAGTTAAGGTTAGGAAGAACAAGATGCCATAATGCCTATGAAGACTTCTTTAACAATCTCATTTGGGGTTTTTCTAGGTATATTATTAGTGTTTTATGGTCTGTGTTCTTTAAACAATAAATAAATTGTTCCTTTTAAATGGATTGCTGTCAATTTATTAAACCATCCCCGATGATGAGTGTACTCATATCCAAAAGGAAACAAGAAGAAAAGCAATAAGCTCTATATCTTAGTTCATTTGGGCTGCTGTAACAAAAATACTATAGACTGGGTAAATTATAAACAACAGAAATGTATTGCTTATAGCTCTGAAGGCTTGGAAGTCTACGATCATGGTGCCAGCAGCTTTGACATCTGGTGAGGGATTTGTCTGCTTCCTAGATAGCGTCTTCGGGGTGCATCCTCACACGGCGGCAGTGCAAACTCCCTCGGGCCTCTTTTAAAAGGGCATGAATTCCATTCATAAGGGTGGAGCCCTCATTACCTAATCACCTCCCAAAAGCCCTACCTCTTAATACTAACACACTACTGATTACATCTTAACATATGAATTTTGGCGGACACATTCAGACCATAGCACTCTGATTAGAAAATGGCAGATGTTATCAGCCTTGAGGCATCCTTCCAGAGTTCTTAGGGTAACTCCTAATGAATTAATCAAATCAAATTCCAATGCTATATGGTTAAGGTGAGAAGATTGGCTCCAAATCCCAATGCTATATGGTTAATATGAGATGTAGCGGGGGAGGGTATAGAGAAGTGATACAAATGGCAGCTCCAATATTTGGGTTGAATTACCATGCTGTAGTGGAACTCACACAAGGACGGAACTTGCCTTGGGCAAGCCCCTATGTTTTGTTTTATTTTGTTTATTTTGTTTTGAGATGGAGTCTCGCTCTATCGCCCAGGCTGTAGTGCAGTGGCACTATTTTGGCTCACTGCAACCTCCGCCTCCCGGGTTCAAGTGATTCGCCTGCTTCAGCCTCCCGAGTAGCAAGAATTACAGGCACCTGCCACCACACCTGGCTAATTTTTGTATTTTTAGTAGAGACGGGGTTTCACTATGTTGGCCAGGCTGGTCTCGAACTCCTGACCTCAGGTGATCTACCTGCCTCGGCCTCCCAAAGTGCTGGGATTACAGGCATAAGCCATCATGCCTGGCCGCCCCTATGCTTCTTAGAGCCTCTATTTTCTCATTGTAAATCGTGGGTGATAATGCTTACCACCAAGAAGCATCTGGGGGTTTTCTGGAAGTAGCCCAGCTAGCCCCAGGTCTGATCCCAATTGACAAAGTCAGTGCTGCTTTAGGAAATATACTCCCAAATTCTCTGTGCCACTTTTAGTGCTACTCCAAGTCAAAGTTAAGCCATGGGCAAAGGAGAGGTCATGTATGAGCAGGGCCTGTGAAGTTGGGATGGAGATGGCAGGAATGCTGGGGGAAATGCAAGGGAAAAAGTAAGACTAAGGGAGATAGGCGTGTTAAAGGCAAACAAAATGGAGCCCAGATTAGGAGAGAAGTTTGAGGATTGCTTGAAAACCAAGATGATATTTTAAAAAGACAGTTTTTTTTTTCAGAAACCCATAACTTAAAAGATGAGAATAAGGAGAAAGAACGAGGGAAAGGAGTTGAGTGTCAGAGGTAGAAGGTGGGGGAAGAGGCAGAGTTTGAAAAGATGATAGGCCTTTCCAGATAAAGGCAGGCAGGGGACTGATAGAAAGTACCTTGGGGTTATGCTGGAGAGACAGGCCAGTGAGTGTTTCACATGTGCCACAGCGGGCATCCAGGAGTGAAAGAGGTAGAAGAGCCCTCGTACAGCCTCTGTCTGATATTGCAGCCTGAGAACAGCCAGTGCTCTGCTGAGAGGCAGGGTGGTAGGGAAGACAACACAACAGGAAGGGGCAAGGGCAAACTAGTGTGTTTGCAATGCCTCTCCGTCTCCTCTGCTACCACTTCTCAACGTAACCCAGCGGGGCTGCTTCACCACTGCCCTCCAGTCACCCAAGGCTATTGCCGTTCTGACTTTCCACCCCACTCCAACGTACGCCTGCACACATTCACTCGGACACCTCAGAAAGTTTTCCTTTGCTATAGCTTAGTGATTTTGGCTTCTGTATGCTACAGACTTGTGTTGTCCAATATGGCATCCACTAGGCACATGTGGTTTTTGAGCACCACATGACTAGCCTGAGTTGAGATGTGCAGTAGGTGTAAAATAAACACTGGATTTCTATAAAGGAACTGCTCTGTGCCCACATCCTGATGACCTTACACTATCCACATAGGCCACACAGGCCAGGCTCAACTGCAGGCTGACTCAGGTCCTGGCATAACACCCTGTGATCCTCCCGGAACACAGGAAGACAGGCAGTCTTGTGAGAATTTGCTACAAGAGCATTTCTCAGTCATCTCCCTATCTTAAGGGAGGTTGCCATGAGGCAGCTTGTCACCTGCCTCCCTCATTCCAGTGAAGTATAGGGCTTTCTGCCTGCTTCACACTCCAGAGGGTACAGCTGCAGGCCATAAAACTGCTTAGCTGCAGTGTCGCATTGGCTACGCAGTACCAGGGGGTCCTATCATTCATGCTGCCTGTCATCTAGCCCCTTTTGTTGTCCTGTTATATTATTCTGTGGGACGAGGGATGCAGGGAGCTGATACCATTGCTGATCTTGCTTTTGCTATCTCTATAAGGAATAAACTGTCTGGATCTGTCTGGATCTCGTGTGTGTGTGTGTGTGTGTGTGTGTGTGTGTGTGTGTGTGTTTCCCCCAGCTGAATGTGTCAGCTTGCTTGATATTTCCAAAGACTTAGTTAAAAATATATTTTAGCTGGGCTCGGTGGCTCACGCCTGTAATCCCAGTACTTTGGGAGGCCGAGGCGGGCAGATCACGAGGTCAGGAGATTGAGACCATCCTGACTAACACGGTGAAACCCCATCTCTACTAAAAATACAAAAAATTAGCCGGGCATGGTGGTGGGCGCCTGTAGTCCCAGCTACTCGGGAGGCTGAGGCAGGAGAATGGCGTGAACCCGGGAGGCAGAGCTTGCAGTGAGCAGAGATCGTGCCACTGCACTCCAGCCTGGGTGACAGAGCGAGACTCCACCTCAAAAAAGTAAATATAAGTAAATATATATATATATATATATATTTTAAATCTCATTAATAATTGTTTTATACTGATTACATGTTGAAAGGGTAATATTGTGGATATATTGGGTTATTAAAATTAATTCCATCTATTTATTTTTATTTTTGTAACATGGCTGCTGTAAAATTTAAAATTACATATGTGGCTTGCATTATTTTATACTGGACAGTGTTGCTATAGTTTGGTGAGAGGCTGAGGCAGGAGAATCGTTTGAACCCGTCAGGCAGAGGTTGCAGTGAGCCAATTGCGCAACTGCACTCCAGCCTGGGTGACAGAGTGAGATTCCATCTCAAAAAAAAAAAAAAGAAAGAAAAAGAAAAGAGGGACTGACAGGGTTTTACTTATTGACAGGATATATATATATATTTTATATATACATATTTATATATGTTATAAATATATATATATATATAGTGTGTGTGTATATATATCCATAATCTCAGAATAAAAGGTAGACCCTTAAACTGAATAAATATAATTTTACAAAAACTCAATGCATTGTCCTGACTTTTCTTACAATGCTTCGGGCTGGTGAAAAATCCTCAGACTGAGGAGGATGAAATTTGGAAACCATTGCTACATACAGCTCATCTCATAAGGCGCTAACTAGCTAATTTGGGGAGGGTTGGGAGGATGTTGAGAAGTGACTAATCCGGGTAACAGTGGCAGATGGGCCCAATGGGGAGGTCTTTTTGTGTCCCATAGGTGTTGGACTCATCTGGTGGCCTTATGTTTTACAGTACTTCTGTGGCTTCTTGGTCTACCCTCTCTTTCCACCCCTAAATAAGGGAAAGATATGAAATATCGGACTCGAAGAGTATAACCAGAGGAACCAAAGTAAACAAGTACAAATTTATTCTTTTCAAAGCAGAATTCAAGGGAAAGGGGGAAGGCACCACAGTGAGTGGCAAAGTTAACCAATTTGTTCCCAACCCTGTCCCTTTGTCCCCTAGACTTCCATGCCACCCTTGTCACCTCCCCCAAATCCTTTCCCCAATTTTCATCCTGTGACCAGTTCTTGCAGTCAGCAAGCAGCATAGCAGACTTTGGTCAGGCCTCAACACTGCCATAGGGGACAGCAAGGGCATTCAGCAGGCCCCCTCTCAAATGCGGCAGCTGTGGGAGAAGATGGACTCTGCGAGCTGAGCCCTGGCCTTGAGCCTTTCTTTCTCCCACAGCAATTGGTGTTAAAAGAGTAAGAAGTAGCTAAAGTGTTCCTTGTTCCCACGGGAGCCACACAGCTGAAGAATTAAGTCTCCACATCCCCAGGATAAGGCCCCCAGTTTTTTTCCCAGAACTGCTCGAGTTAAGATAGCTACTTTCTTGCTTATCTGTCACTTATGTGAAGAGAAATTGGATGGGATTTTTGGCCTTGAAATGGTGCCACAGGCCATGACTCTGCTGTTGAGAATGTGAGTTCAAATGCTGGATATGGAGCCCAAATCTTAAGCACACACATCAGGAAGCACAGGTATTCCTTAAAATGAATCCGGAGGAAAAACATCTCCTAGGATTGGCCTCTTCCTGGCCTCAGGTTTTCTTATTTTTGTGTCTTGCCAACCCATTTCCTGGAGCACCAAAAACTCAAACAGATTTCTCCGTAGGGAAATATTTCCCAACTTTGGGCCTTGAAGAAAATGGGCACTTGAGAGTCTTGATTCTAGCCTTTCTAATCTGGAGGGAAGGGTACATGTCCTCTCTAGGGAAGCATAGCACAGCCTGATTTCTTCCAGCTAGTCAGTCTTCCATGACAATGCCCAGTCAATGTGAATCCACTATGCTGTCACTGGAAGCAGAGGTATCCTCATAATGGCTTTTTGGCCTCTATCAAATTCTGTCAAGAAGAAATCACCTCTCAGTCCTAACTGTTCTTTGATACTATTTGACAATAACCCCAGCAAATGCTCACATACCTTATCATTGATGCTAATCCCACAGTCAGAAGGTTTTCTTTAGGCTACCAACCTAGCAACTCCCTTCACCATCCTTCTAGTGT